TTACTAATCTAAGCTTCAGAAACCCTATGAAGCAGTTCTGTTCTGCTTACAGGGGTGCTGGGAGTCAGAATCCACTCGATGGCTTGGGTGGCTATTATTACCCATGCACCTGGACTTCAAAATCACCACTGGTAAACGTAAATGGACTAAATAAATCACAGGCATTCTTTCTAGTCATTTGGTTTAACAATTTTAATTAGAAAGTACCTCTGAAAAATATTTCTGATAATTTAATATAATTGCTTATATTTAAACTATTTCCCTCAAATATTTTCTATGTAGGACCAGAAGCCTATGTATAAAGAATAAACTCACCACTGGAAAAAAAGATTACATAAAACATCTGACCATCTTCATACCAAATCTTAGGAAGGGCGCTGGTTTCTCATGGAGGTCAGCGGTTCAAAACCATGAACCTGTCCTTGGGAGACAGATGAGGTGTTCTACTTCCATAAAGAGCTAGTCTTGGAAACCCACGTGAGCAGTTCTACTCTGTCCTCTGGGGTCACTGTGAGCTGGAATCAACTCCGTGGCAAAGAGTTTGGTTTTGGTGGCATATCAGGCTGCTACCCACAAGGTCTGCAGCGAGAAACCACCAAGCCCCTCTGAGGGAGAAAGACGAGGCTCTCTGTTCCTATGAAGACTTGCAGCCTGGGAAACCCAAAGGGGCAGTTCTAACATATCCTATAGGATTGTTGTGAGTCAGAATTCACTTGACAGCTGTTGAGCATTGTTTGGTTACATTGAGGCTGTAGTGAGGCTAAAACAAGATAAACTGATACAGCCATTAGCAGAGTGCTGAAGCTAGATTTATTCTCAATAATGGTGTTAAAAGCTACCATAGAAATTAGTTTAAATATCCTAGCATCATAATTTTCAGATTAATACCTGTTTGTTGGGAAATTCTGAATGGTGTTCTTGTAGAATTAACTCTCCCTCTTATACAGGTTTTTCAAATTCCTGAGATATACGTACAGTAAGAATTGTCCGTTGGGAATAGTGGCATGTAGTAATAACAGACACCAAAAACTAAAGTTAAACTCAACTGCTTTCAAGTAGATTCCGACAGCTATTCTACGGGAGTAGAAAGCCTCATCTTTTCCACTCAGAAGAGCTGGTGCTTTTGAACTGCTGACCTGGTGGTTAGCAGTCCAAAGCCCAACTCCCCCAACCAGGGCTCCTAATAACATGAACAGGTTAATAAAAGCATACTTTTCTTCTGAAATACATACACATGGGAAAGTAGTAAAGATTAAGAGCTAGCAAGAAACTCAGTTCACAGTGGGGTGGTGGGGAGGAACCAGGCTCACTTACAATTGCTCTCAAAACCAAACTCATTGACATTGAGTCTACTCCAATTCATATTAACCCCAACCTACAGGGCCTCCCCCCGCCCCCCAACTTCTAAGAATCTACACAATATTAAATATACCTGGGGGTTAAAACTGAGTGGCTTTCTGTGCATATTTAAAAATCATATTTCCAAGTTACCTTGAATTTCCAGGCTTTCAAGGTTTCTTTGTAACTGGAGGCTTCTTGAAGCTCATTTTCTGCTAAGAACCTTTTTAGAATCCAGACACATCCCAGACAAAATTCTCATGGAAGACAGAGCAAGCTGAGATTTTAGGAAAGCTGTATTTTCAACGTAATTGAGGAACATGGTAAAAAATGACATATACCAGTATAAGAGCCAATGCATTCATACCCACGTGATAGCTCCTTATAACCTCAGGAATTAAAACAAAAGCCAAGTTATCCTGTACATGTACATCATACACCAAAGTACAAATGGAATGGCTTGGAGGTCTCAATCCGGGAGGGTGGATCTGGAGAGCATACCAAGCCGAATTTGATTTCTAGTTCGGACTAGTCAGTAAATCTCTCTCTGAGCTGTTCCTCATCTTTTATAAGGAAGCATCTCCCTTCTTCCTTCCTCTCTAAGGATGACAGTTATTGAAGACTATTCTTTTAGCTAGCACACACACTTACCAGTTGGAAGATCTACAGTGATTATCACAAGGAGCCAAAGGGGAAGTGCAGAATTCATAAGCAAGAAATCCAAGTTCTACGAGTGTGTGAGACACAAGGCAGCACACCTCCAGTACATTTAGTCTGCCTCAATATAATGTCATTCTAGCTTCAATGATGAGATTTTGTTACAGATCTGAATCCAAGGCCTAAAATCATTAGACTCCCACACGCTGAATCAGAACACGTGAAAGGTAAAGTCCAAGGCAGCAGTGTTACATGAGCAAAGGTCCTCAGAGCGTGAAGACAAGTCTTTGGAAAGACAGGCTGCAGCTGACGAGTCCATCACAGGCTTCATCGGATAGTTGGCTTCAGGGAACCTTCAACATTTCCAATTGCCCTTTAAATGACTCAGTAAAAAAGTACAACAGTAAAGATGCAAACCAGAAAACTGGCAAAATTATCATATACACCCAAGAACAGAAAAAGACCACCAAAAGATGCATTTTACTGCATTTACTGCTATTTTCCAATGTGTGCTCTTAAAAAAAAAGCTAAGACTGATTATTCTGAAATCAGTTCAATGTCTATCATTAAAATTTAAAGGCCCCATTAAAAACTCAAACTCCCTGCCATTGAGTCAATCTACAGGGCAAGGTTTACATGCCTGTAACTCTTTCCGCTAGTAGAGTCTCATTTTGCTCCCACAGAGCAGGTGGTGAATTGAAATTACAGGCGTTGAGGTTGACAGTACAACTTGAAACCTACTATACTACCCAGGCTCCCTCTAAAGACCCACAAGGGGCTTAGAAAGGTTCATGGAAAAATTCGATTCCATTTTCCCATGAGCATTTTGGGCCTAGCTTGTACACCCTGAAACCAATACTTCTCAAAGATGTAGCTTTTTATTTAAAAATTCACAACCTTTCAGGAGCCCTGGTGGGATAGTGGTTATGAGGTGGGCTGCCATTCAAAAGGTCAGCAGCTCAAAATTAACAACCTTCCAAGCTTGAGCTTAATTATTTCTGCTTTATTCATCTTCATAAATATTAATAACTTCTCAGAACTTAGCTACATCAAGAGACTATTACTAAAATAAAGATGATCTGAAATCAAGTTGTTTTGATAATAATCAATTTGAAAGTAATCCCTCTCCAAAAATGCCCATTTAATATGCTAATTTCACTCTCCATTTAGAGCCAGTGGACAAAAACATTGAGAAACACAAGTTTTGCAGAAATCCCAATTACAACACCCCCCCCAAAAAAATTAAAAAAACAAAAAACAAAAAAAAAACCAAACCCGACAGCACGTGCTTAGTCTATTTATCCCCACGGGGTGAACGTTTTTGAGGGGAAAAAGTTTTGCTCATTTCCAGTTATTTTATCAACACGTGAAAACACAAAATTGAGACTGATCAGTACATCAGGACAAGATATTCGGCAGTCATCGAAACATGGCGAAATTAAAAGGTGCAGAAAAATAATCCTCCAGTTTCACCACACAAATCGTAACTGGGTCTATCTGACCTGATCCTAAAGGAAATATTCTTCAAGAGTTAATGCCATATTATTCAACAACTTATATGCCCCCTCCAAAAACAAAAAAAAAGCATCGTGTAGTACACTCATTCGGGCTCACGGGCCAAACTTTCAGGGTGACGACGGTGCATCAAGGGGAGCATGAAACTGCACAGTCAGCGGGCCGTAGCGCACGCCCCCAAACCCCACTGGGAGTCAGAGTGCGCGGCCCCACCAGTGCCAGAAGGAGACAAGCACCTGGTTGCGTCCACAAAGCCCTTTCCAGGGTCCCCAGCCTCAATCTGGGGCGCCAAGTCCACACGCTTCCGTTTCCCACCAAGCTCACGACGACAGGGAATCTACCACTGTTACAAACACGTAAAGACGATTCCTCTACCTAGACACACGATGGGAAGCGGCCACTGTCTTCCATGACAAGTGTCACGGCACCTCGGAAGGCTGGGACAGACTGGGCCGAAGGACACCCCTCCGGAAGTGGCACATTCCATACGAGGGCCCGAGGGATGGCCGAGGGCGATTCCACTGTCCGCCGGGGGCTGCCAACTCACCCACACGCTCCCAATCCTTTATCATTAACCTCGCCCGCAGGAAAGCGGCGGCTTAAGTTCGTGCCGACGCAGGTCTGCGGGTGATAAGGTAAGGGGCACGAAAGCCACACGGGATTGGGACCGTGCTGTTGTTAACCCGCACCTTCCTGAGCAGTGACATTTCCCCGAGCAAGGACGTCTCCAGGTTCCAAGAGGAGGGATGGAGCTAACTTTGGAGTGACATCTCCCCAAGTACCAGTCGGAGGGGGGGCGGGGGGAGGTGCCAGCCCACGGCGCGCCGGGGCCCCGACCCTAACTCGTACTTTTGCCCGCGGGAGCGAAAGAAGGGGTACGCCCACTGCCGCTCGATCGCGGAGGCGGGGCCCTACGGCGACCCAGGAGGACCGAGACGGTCTGGTGGCAGCGCTGCCCCTCCCCCTCCGTGTGGAACACCCCCGTTTGCTCGGGGAGGACTCGGTGGCCCCCCTACACCCCACGCCAAGTCACGGGCAGAAGGGGCAAAGAGAACGCCCTATGCCTTGACCCGAGCCCAACTGAGACAGGGAGCCAAGCGTGAATCCACGGCCAGCCTCCTCCTGGACTCCGAGGGGCCGGCCCAAGGAGGTGGGGCCTGTTTGGGGGTGCTGACTTCACACCCCTCCCCCGCGGGCCGCTGGCAGTTCAGAGAGCACCCCGCCCGCTCCAGTGCGGCGGGTGGGGGAGGCAGCGGAACAGCCCGGAGCCCTGCAGCGGGCTGGGAGGAGCGCGCGCATGGGCGCGCGACCGCCACCCCCGCGCAGCTCCGCGCGCAGCAAGGCCCCCCACGCTCAAGGGCGCGCGCGGGCCCCGAAAAGAGGCCGCGCGTGGCACCGGCGAGGACCGGCCTAGGCTTCTGACCCCCACTCCTTCACCACTCACTCCCAGCCGCCGCCAACACACTCCAGGCCTCGGACTCCGCACTGACCTGACAGGCCGAGACATGTTCGCTGTCGAAACAGGACCCAGTCGAGAAGGCAAAGACCAGGACCCCCCCCACCCCGCGCGCTTGGCGCCCCACCCCCCCAAACTTCAGCCGATATCGCCGCTGCAGCTGAACCCCAAACTGGTGGTCTCTCAAACTCGGTCGCTCCTTGCTTCAAAGCCCCTTGAACAGACGAGCACCCCGCTCTCGTCTCTCCAAAATGGATGAATCAAACCAACCGAAAATGCGCCAAAGCCACTGTGCAACCGAACCCACTAGCTCTTGTCTGCTCCGCCCCAACCTTCTCGCTCATTGGTGGTTCTTGCCAGATGCGCCCAGCTTATTCGTCTATTTGAATCATCACGTCTCTCTGACCCCGCCTTCCCCATAGGCTCCGCCCCCTCCGTGGGGGTCTTGTTAGTCAAGATTCTTTGAGAGCGCACGGCCGCAAAACAAAAATGGTCGCTGCTCAGCCCGCCCCCTGGCTTCCACTCCAGAGTTGCAGATTCGTCTTACGTCGTATTTGGGACGAGTAGAAAAGAAGATAAATACAGCCGTCAACATCGCCGACTCTTAGTTTGCTGATGTTTCGTTTTTCCTGCCTTATTCATCCATAAATTCCGTTTAGAGAGAAACCTGTGGTATAGGCGGCAGATTCGTCACCCGGGGGCTGCTTCAGAATTGGAGGGAAATTCCATAGGTTCAAAAATGTTGACCCGAAGCCCACAAGCCCCTCCCCCTGGCCTCAGCACCAGCGCTGGAGAGCTTGCCATGCTGCGGGAGGACGCACACAGGATCATGGAATAACTGTACCCTATTTCCACACGTCTCCATGCTGGTCCTTACGATCCGCTCCAGGGTCATTAACGTCCCAGGACCGGGAGTCATTATTTCAAGGAAAGAGAACCGTGAGCTTAGTGATCAGGAGCGTGAGCGGTGGGACCTCGAGCTGTCTGGGTTCGAATCTCAAGTCACCACGAATAGTTGAATGTTTCCCTCTCTGAGCCTCATTTTTCGGAGTATTTCAACTGTCTCTTAAGAAAATGACCCTTGAGCCTCCAGCTTTCTTGTTATCCAGCTAACTTGTAATGAGCATCTGTGGAACTGTGCCTCAGAGCATCCTAGCACTGCGATGCTGGCATGCACTCTCCAGTGTGCCCGGACAACAGACTCAAACGGCCGGTTTGTTAGAAATTAAAGAAGGACACTCGTCGAATGCTCAGTTACATTTTTGAAGCACCTTTGGATTTACTCTGGGGAAAAAAAACCAATAACACTATACTTAATACACCTATCAAACAATAAGGGCTCTGGTTTAAGGTCGGACACAGAAATGGCAGTTATTCATTCACTTAGGTATTAAATTTAATGGCCTTTAAAACACAGTATTTAATTTCCCCATTATATTTCTTTCCTAGGGCTCCTATAGCAAGAAACTACAAACTGGATGGTTTATAAGAAGAGAAATTTATTGTATCACAATTTTGGAGGCTAGTAGTCTGACTGGGGTGTCAGTAAGGCCATGTTTTCTCCAAAGTTTCTGGGAGACGATTCTTTTTGGTTCCTCCCAACTTTTGGTAGTCCCAGGCATGTCCTCAGTTAGTCACAGGGCCATTTTCCCTTTGTTTTTCCAGGTTCCTTTTCAGAGCCCTGGTGGTATAGTGGTTATTTCTCAGGTGGTTAATTGAGAGGTCAACAGTTCAAAACCACCAGCCACTCTGCTAGAGAACGAGGAAGCTTTCTACTCCTATAGAGTTAGAGTCTCAGAAATCCAAGGGACACGTCTACCTTGTCCTATACTGTCACCATGAGTCAGATCGGACTCAATGGCAGTGAGTTTGGTTTGAATTTTCTTCAGACTCAAAACGTACTGCCATGGTTGACCCTGGCTCAAGGTGCTTTTCATTTCAAACTCCCAGCCTTGTAGTTAGCAGCCCGATGAATAATCCACTAGCCCACCAGGACTTCTCTGGCCACTCTTGGTTGGATTTAGCTACAGTGGGTTTGATCTGGTGGGTCACCCCCTTTTATGAATTACAACCACCCTATTGCAGGATATGAGGCATTGGTTCTGTGGAAGCAACCCAGGGTGACATTCCCAGGCAATATACATGACAGTAACCACCACCCATCCGTCAGGGGAGGCTTGCATATTGTGATGATGCTGAACAGGTTTATTGTTTTTTTTTGTTTTTGGACATTTGGCAAGCATTTCTTTCTTTTTTAAAAAATCATTTTATTAGGGGCTCATGTAACTTTATCACAATCCATACATACATCAATTGTGTAAAGCACATTTGTACATTCATTGCCCTCACCATTCTCAAAACATACATTTGCTCTCCACTTAAGCCCCTGGCATCAGCTCCTCATTTTTACCCTTCCCTCCAC